GACGCCAGCTCCCTGTCAAGCCCAGGGGAAACTGTAGAGTTAGAATGAAAGGTCAACAATCACCCCCGCCATGATAATCAGGTCATAAGGAAAAATGATACCACCAGGAGCCAGAAAAACAGAACAAGTGCTTTGAAACTCTGGGTGCTGGGATGATCAGACACCAAAACTTGAAAACAGCTGCTGGGAACAGGAAACTAGAAAGAGTGACATCAGGGAGGATGGTTGGTTTGTTTTCGCTGTGCTGGGGATCAAACCCAGGGCCTTTTGCATGCTAGGCAAACACAAGCTGCTCCACCAGCCTGACATTTTAAAACAAAACAAAGTAGGACTTATAGAAATGAAAAGAATAGTTGACATTTAAAACTCAGCAGGGGGCTGGGGATTTAGCTCAGTGGTTCCAGAGGCTGCTTCATAAGCACAAGGACCAGAGTTCGATCCCCAGTACCAAAAAAACACACACAAAAAAAAAAAACTCAGAAGGTGTACTTAGCTACAGAGTGCATAAAACAGAAGAGAGAACTAGGAAACAAGGAAGACAGAAGAAATTACTCAGGAAAAACAGGACAAAATGGAAATCACAGAAAGAGAAGCTAATAGGCACAGGTGATACTGACAGAACGCCCAACACAAAAATTGTGATCCTAGAAGGAGCAGAGAGAAATGGGAGCACAGACAGGGTCTGAAGATGGACATTTGAAGTCACCAGGACTAAGCTACGCGTGGTGGTCTACATCTGTAATCCCAGCACTTTGGGAGGCTGATCATAAATTCAAGTCTAGGGCTGGGGATTTGGCCCAGTGGAGCCCGCACATGCCTGGCAAGCGCAAGGTCCTGAGTTCGATCCCCAGCACCACACACACACACACACACACACACACAAAGAAAGAAAATAAATTTAGTAAGATCCTGTCTCAAAATAAAAAGGCTGGGGTTATACCAGTGAAAGTTTTAAGTTAAATTCCTAGTAGCACAAAAACAAATTTCAAGTATTGATGAACGATACCAATTCACAATTTGAGGAGCTAATTCCAAATAAGACAAAAATAAACACTCCCTTCAATAAATCACAGGAAAAGAGGGGAAGAAATAGACGGCCTTTAGTGTAACACTTGATTGAAGGGGACTTCTCAACAGCAAGATGTGAAATTAAATGTAGCTCCTAATGTAGAGCTTTCATTCCCTTCAACAATAATTTTTTTTTTTTTTTTTTTGGTTTTTTGAGACAGGGTCTCACTATGTAGTTGAGACTGACCTGGAACTCACTATGCAGCCCAGGCTGGTCTTCAACTCACAGTGATCCTCCTACCTCAGCCTCCCTAGTTCTGGGATTACAGGCGTGTGCCACCACACCCAGCTAACAATAATTTTTAAGAGTGTACATTGTAAAGGAGGCTGAGGCAGGAAGATCCAAGTTGAGGAGGCTAGCTGGGCAATTTTTCTTTTTTTAAATTAAGCTGGTGATATAGCTTCGTGGTAGACCTCTGGGCCTGGGTTAAATCTTCAGTCCCAGGACAACAACGAAAAACGATTTCTCTGAGTGCCCAGCCCTGTGCAGGGAAGTAGTAGGGACACAGCCCTGACTAGGACACCGCTGATCCTGTCCCCACTGGAACTGTTATTCCTGTGAGAGAGACGGAGTGGTCCCAGAGACTGACAGACAGAACAGATTGTGAAGAGCTGGGGTGGAGGAAGTAGAGAGGGGCACCTGATGCAGGCTGGAAGTCGGGGAGGGCTTCCTGGAGGAGACAGCCAAGCGGTAGCTTGAAGGAGTGGTTGGTGGGAGTCAGTGGGTAGAAATATTTTACATAGATGGAGCAATGCATCCAAAAACCCAGGATGGAGGGGAAGCTGGGAGTGTTTTCTAAACACATGATCACAGTCCTCTGGTTGTTAACAAACCTTGCTTGGCTCCCCAGTGTCCTACTCAACACATAGTCCAAAATCTTTAGGCTGACATTCACAGATTTGTTCATTCGTCCGTTTCTTTGTTCATCTGTTCAGCGTTCACACTGCGCACTCTGAGAGTTGAGAGGGAGTTTCCCAGGCCCTGTACCACAAATGTGGCCTAACTGAGAAATCCCAGGCCTGTCCTTGGCACATCAGGACTGGGGCAAGGAGGGGGTTACAACCACAGATCCCTGGCCACATCCGCAGAGGTCCACAACCATGTACATCTGCAGCCAGATAAAACCAAACTGGCGCTATTCACAGGCATCCCTGGTGATCTGACACAGTAGCCAGAGAAATCACTTTGAGACGCGCCGGCTAAACCTCAGCCTCTGAGCCCATGATCCGGTATGACTTGAGTCAGATGATTTCACCACTCAGGTTTTAGTTTCCTCTTCTGGAAACAGTGATGATTCTCCATCTCCTCCATGGTCTTTCCTTTCCTCCCCTTCCCAATACCCCTGAACTACACTGGCCTGCTGAACGCTCGTTGAATATATCAGTCGCTGGCAACCACAGGGCCTTTATACCAGCTGCTCCCTCAATCTGGGGCACTCTTTCCCATGCAGTAAACATTTAGCGAGAGAATGCTATTAAAAATAACAGCAAACATCGGGGTGTGGTGGCACATGCCTATAGTCCCAGCACTCGGGAGGCTGAGGCAGGAGGATTGCTGTGAGTTCGAGACCAGCCCGGGCTACATAGTGAGTTCCAGGTCAGTCTCAACTACATAGTGAGACCCTGTCTCAAAAAAACAATACAAAACAAAACAAACATGGGACCAACAAGACTGTTTGACAGGGCTGTCCCATGAGACTGCAATAAATAAGAGACCAGGAGGTCAACGATGATGCCCACGTCTTAGTTGGCTCTGGGGGGGTCTTTCCTGATCTTCATCTTCCCTGTCTTAATCTGGGCACGTGTTCCTGTCTTCTGAGTCCCCACCACCTGTCTGCTTCTCTTCCGGTCTTTGTCCTCAACAAATCCCCCATCACCACGGGCTGTTTTCTCCACTGTTTGAATCACGCTGCTAGGGAAACCCACAAGTAAACAGGGCAGCCGGCCGGCCGTGGGCTTGGCAGAGTGGGCGTGGCCTGGGGTGGCGGCTGTAAACAGCGGGCTGAGGAATTTCGGGTCAGGATCACCTTGGGCTTCCGCTTTAAACACAGCCTCAACCACCCAAGCAAAGGGGCTTCTGAGGAGGCGTGGCCGTCCATTGACTCATTTAAAAAAATAAAAACGAAACGCAGATGGGAAGGAAGGGTAACAGTGTTCTAGAATAAAACAACTAAGGGAGAAAAAAATTAAATAATAAAGGAGATGAGTGAATCCCCCACCCTGGCAATCAATGGAATCCGGGATTCTCCTAGCAATAGGTGCAATTGGGAAGGGGAGCTCAGACCCCATAGCCTTCTCCCTCAGTCCTTACATGACTCAGGCTCCAGTGGTTGCCACAGCTGCAGTGACAGAGGGACACTGGGGCTGGGATTCCAAGCCTTGCCAGCACAGGAAGTGAAGGTTATCACTGTGGCTTTATTTAAAGCATTCAGGCTGGGGATTTAGTTCAGTGGTTCCACTGCCTGCCTCGCAAGCGCAAAGACCCGGGTTCGATCCCCGGTACCAAAAGCATTCGAGACAGATTCCTGTGCCCATCATGGTCACCCATCTGGCACTTGCTCTTACGATGAGGGATGGCCAACAGGTCTCTTACTTCTCAGTGAAAAGCTGTGTGGTTCACACCCACCCCACCCTGCCTGCCTGGGTCCTGCCTCAGTCGGAGCCTGAAGTCCCCCCAAGCTTGACTGCTTTCTCTTAACGACTTACACTTGGTTCAGAGCAGGCCCCTGACGATACCTGGGTCAAGGGTGGGCAGCCCTGGGCTTTCGTCCAGCCCACCACCGCCTGCTGTCCCTATGATTTAGGACAGCGCCTCCCTGCCTCTTTGAACCTCTCGTTGCTCATCTGTACAATGGGACTTTGTCCCGACCCTTTGTCACGGGATCAGGGACAGAGGTTCAAAGAGACAACCCAGGAAGAGCTGTGGGCATTGCGCCGGCCTAAAGGAGACCTCAGTAAGGGTCCCCTCTGGATCATTGCCTTGCGTTGTAGTCATGGCTGACACTTAATGAGCGCATCTCATCGGCCCTGTGCTAGGGGAGTCACAATCATAATCACGGTCTGCCCTGGGCAGAGGCGGACACCGATCTCTCCTGACAGATGAGGAAACGGGCCGGGGAGGTTAAGTAACCAGCTCACGGCCACGCAGAGAGCAGGTTTGAACGGTCTTTTTTTCTTCAGTACAGTGCGCTGATTTTAGGGTCTTTGCACAGAGCTACATCTCCGCCCTTTAAATATTTATTAAATTTTATGTTGATACAAAGTCTTACTGAGTCACTAAGCTGCTCAGTCTGGGCGGAAACTGTCGGTCCTCCTGCCTCAGCTCCCAGAGCGCTGGGATTTTGTGTGTGTGCCGCCATGACCAGCTACAACGTCTGTGTGACCTGACAACGTTCCTCATCCTCCCCGGCTTCATCTCCTCCCCTGTAGAATGGGAACGGAAGTACTCACCTCCCTGGCTGTGTTTATAAAACACTGGACACTATTGAATAAGTGGCTTCTTCTGGGGCAGGGGATGTAGCTCAGTGGCAGAGGGTATGCTGAGCACGGGCAAGGTCCTGGCTTCCTTTCCCACCACACACACACATACACACACACACACACATCATTGAACATAGTGAAGAAAAAGTTTTAATCAGAAAGGGATTTTGTTTGCTTTCAGTTGCTGAGGCAGGGCCTCCCTGTAGAGTTCAAACTGACTGCAAACTTGCAATGTAGTCCAGTCTGGCCTCAAATGCAAAATCTTCCTGCCTCAGCCTCCAGGGTGCTGGGATTACAGGAGTACACTACCAGGAAAGGTCCAAGGGGGACTTCTCTGGAGACCCGCAGATCTCGTTCTGCCACTCTCATGCTCTGGGGCTGTACATGTTCAGCTACTCATCTATAAAATAGGATCAGAGTGTGTTTCCCTCATGGAGGGGTTGTGGGGAGTAACTCAGATCGTGTGGGGAACTGTGTGGAGGCGTCTGGCTCCCAGAAAAGGGCTGTTGTGAAGATCAGGAATGGCTCTGGAGTACAGGGAGGTTGCAGCCTCTCCAGCCTCGCCCATGGGTTTGGGCGGTGGGAAGCATTCCTAGGCAAAGACCTAAATCAAACAGACAGGGAAACTGAGGTTCAGGGAGTGGGAAGGCCTTTCCATAGGACACAAGGCAACTCTGAGGCAGAGCAACCAGGGTCATGACCTCCTGACTGCTCTGTGGGAGAGTAGAGGCCCATGGGGGTTGGGGGCCGGGGAGTGGGCCCTTTAAATCCTAAGCTCCACCTTTGCTTCCAAGGGTCCCTGGGGAGTATAAAAGGGGGTGCAGCTCCTCTCTGCTCCTCAGAAATACCTGCTGCTCCTTCCCACTGGCCCCCAACACCAACCCTCCCCAGCCTCCCATTGCCGGCCTGCCATGGACCTGCCACCCTTCGACATGTGGAGAGACTACTTCAACCTCAGCAAGGTGGTGCTGGCGCTGCTCCAGAGCCGGAGCCAGAGGCTGCAGGTGGAGGAGATGGAGGAGATTGGGGAGCCCAGACCTGGGCCCCTGCTGGGGCACGGTCTAGAGCCGGGGACCACCCTGTGCAACTTCTGCAAGCACAACGGAGAGTCGCGCCACGTCTACGCCTCGCACCAGCTGAAAACGCCAGAGGGTGTGGTGCTGTGTCCCATCCTGAGGCACTACGTGTGTCCCCTGTGCGGGGCCACCGGTGGCCAGGCCCACACGCTCAAGTACTGCCCACTCAACAGCGACCAGCAATCTCTCTACCGCCGCAGTGGACGCAACTCGGCTGGCCGTAAGGTCAAACACTGAGGACTATGAGGTGCCCACCACCCCAACCCCTAGCCCTCCTACTTCAGTCCCTTCTGAGCCCCTAAACCCTCCTCTCTGCTCCTCCAGCCTTTCGGGACTCCTGAACCCTAGAGCTCCATTCCTGCTGGACCCTGAAACACTAGAGGCTGCTGGCAGCCTGGCCAGCCCGTCCTGGGGTCCTCCCGGTGCAGCGGGAGCCTTGGGCTGGGGACGGCACACAGGCCAGTGGCTTGCTCTGGGACACTCGGTTCACGGAGCTTTAGTTCTCCCGGAGCCTGCTGGTGACCCTGCCCTGTCCCTTCGAATTCTCAGCTTGGGCCCCCTCTCTCCGGGCTCCTTAACCTACGGGACACCAGTGTGCTGGAGATGAACGTGGCTGGTTCAGACTGTCCCGCTTGAGAACTTGGAAGGTGGGCTACCTACCAGTTTGACCATCCACCGCCGCCGCCTTCAGCACCTGCAGAGCCACGGTTTCCGCCTGGGCCATGCTGGCCCCTCCTGCCTGTCTGCAGCATCCTCTCCATTTGGAACTGGGGGAAGAGGAGGGGACTTACCCAGGCGGGGTGCGGTATCATCACAGCCTGAGAGTACAGAGCCTCACGTGCTTGCTCTGGTGAGCTGACTCCCTGCATCTCCCTCTAGTTGTGCTCTGCATTCTTTAGCCCATTTCATTCCACTCCTGTCCCCAGCCCCAGGTCACCCACGGGTCCTCCTCCCCCAGCGAGAGATGCGTCCGTCTCTCTGCCACCTCCCATCCAGATCCGGACAGGTGGCTGTGTTTTTCATCCTCCAGCAGTTAAATCAACAAAGCTCACACGGGGAAGAGGTTGAAGTGCCCAGGTGGGCATGGCGATTGCCTAGATTTTATTTTATTTTATTTTATTTTATTTTATTTTATTTTATTTTATTTTATTTTATTTTATTTTATTCACGGCCAAGAAAAGAAGAGCCCCAGTCAGATTTTAAGTTGGTTGATTTTGGGCTCAGAGCTGGGAGCTGCATGTTGAGCTCTGGTGAATAAAAGAGCGCTCTGAGTCATCTTTGAAATCACTGCGTTTGTTTCTGTCCTCCAACCTAGCCCTGCCCCTGGAGGCCGCAGGGAGAGGTCAGGGGAGCTGCCTGGGGCCCCAGTTCCTGAATGGTGGAAGCAGAACAGGGGAGTTCCAGGGTTCCTATACGTCCTCCAACACAGGTCACTGGTGGCCTGGTCCCCAGGTTCCTTCCAAGCCTCTCCCAGAGCCTCCAGTTCCCCTTTTCGTGTCCTATCCAGAGTTCCCGACCTGCGCTGGAGTCTGTGGGGTTCCAGGACTGACTTGGTAGTTTCTTTAGTTGTTGTTGTTTTGTTTTGGTACTGGGGATCGAACTCAGGACCTTGCGCTTTCCAGGCAGGCAGCACCACTGAGCTAAATCCCTGGCCCAACTTGGTAGTTCTTAAACTTTGGGCTCCCAGGCCCCAGGGAGAGCTGTGGCCCTTCCCAGGGAAGCACATACATGCACAAAATGTTGCGAGAGCCGGGTGTCTTCTATTCCATTGTTCAACAAATATTTGTCTGACATTTATTTATTTACTTATTTCTGCAGTGCTAGGAATTGATCTAGGGCCCCAGCCCTTTTAAATTTTGAAACAGGGTCCTTCTAAGTCTCCCAGTCTACACTCAGACATGCAGTTCTCCTGACTGAGCCTCCCAGAATGCTGGGATCACAGCTGTGAACCATCACACTCAACTTTGGTCCACAAATATTTATTGGGCACTAACTTGGTGCCACCGATGGAGAGGCTGTTTATTCAGAGCAGTCAGACGGGAGTGACATCTGATTCCAAACAGCATAAAGAAACCAGCGACTCTTCGCAGGGAAGAGATAGCAAGTTCGGAGGTCCTAAAAGTGCAGTCATGCTGTGGTGTGTTTGCAGACTACCCAGGAGGCTGGCTGAATAAGATCAGATCAGCCGGATGTGGTGGCACACACCTGAAATCCCAGCACTCGGGAGGCTGAGGCAGGAGGATCGCTGTGAGTTCAAGACCAGCCTGGGCTACATAGTGAGTTATAGGTCTGTCTCAACTACCTAGTGAGACCCTGTCTCAAAAAAACAAAACAAACCAAAAAAAAAGATCAGATCAGAGTTGGGTGTGGTGGGCAAAGAGTTCAGGATGTCATAGACGCTGGTGAGAACATTACCTTTAGTTTGTGTCCTCCGTTTGTGTGGACTCCCCTCACACATGTGCTAGTTAGAGAACTAGAGACCCCAGTTAAGGAATTTGGTTCACAAGTTCTCTTTCTGGAATACAGTTCTTCCCACAGCAAAGACTCTCAGGTTGAACAAATCCACAGGGCAAGAAAAAAAGTCCTCCATAGCAGCCAGCGCTGTAACCCCAGCGCTCAAGGGAGGCTGAGGCGAGATCACCTTGAGTTCAAGGCCAGCTTGGACTATATTGTGAGTTCAAGACCAGCCTGAACTGGATAATGAGACCCTGTCTCAAACAAACAAAGCCCTGGATGGGATTTTGGGTCATCAGGGGCAGGTCAGCCCTACACAAGAGCACCCAGCTGGTAGTGCTGCCCCCCCAAAGGGCACCTGTTTGTAATTTGCACTAGGAGTGCATCATGATGTAGGGAAGAGGGCCTCCCAAACTGCTGATGGAGTTTAACAGAGGTACTAAAGCAGGGTATGGTGGTGAACTCCTGTAATCCCAGTACTTGGGAGGCTGAAACAGGAGGGTCACTGTAAGGAGAGTTTGAGGCCAGGGCGGGGTACACAGTTGAAGGTCAGCCTGAACTACATAGTGAGACCCTGTCTCAAAAAAAAAAAAAATTCAGGAGGATGCAGGGCTGAGGTGCAGGTGCTGAAGTGAGAGGGTGCTGACATCTTTTGGGGATGTGGAGGACACGAAGTGCCTGAGGACATCTGAGGTTCAGGGTCCCAGAGGCTGTTGGAAACCTGAGTTGGGGCTCAGAGGTGAGGGCTGGGGCCAGACAATTCATGTCGTCAAGTTTTACTCGTTTTTTAATAAAGTGATTTATTCAACGGAGAATAATGGAGTGGCAGGGTGACTGATGAGGGACCAATACCGCGGCCTCTTACCCCTCTAGCACAGCACCTGCAGAGCTCAATGACCTGCACGCCCCCCCAGCCCAAACTCCTGGGGGGCTGGAAGAGCCCTGGGTGCCTCTCCCAGATGCCCATGACTTGTTGCCTAGCACTGCCCTAACAAACTGCCACCAACAGAGTAGCTCTGGGAGGCTAAGGCAGGAGAATCGCAAGTTGGAGCCTAGCCCGGGTAATGTGGCAACTTAGCAAGACCCTGTTTCAAGAATAAAGAAATAAAATAAAAAGGGCCAAGGCTGTAGCTCCATGCAAAGGCCCTGGGTTCCATCCCAGATGCGGAGTCCTTTTCCTGCTTTCTGCTAGACCAGACTTGTGGCTATGTCATACCTTCCCAGTCTCCTTCACCCACTGGTCCCTTCTGTGAGAGTCTCTCCTCTTATGAGAACACCAGTCATGAGGGATAGCTGGTCCGTCCTACCCCAGCATGTCCTCATCTCCCCACTATGTCTCCTATGACCCTATTTCTGAATCAAGTCACATTCTGAGATTCTCGAGGATTGGAAATTGGGGCTTCATTGCCTTTGTGTTTGGTGTTTGTTTGTTTATTTGTTGAGACAAACAATAGCCATGCTTGGGTATAGTGGTGCACACCTGAAATCTCAGCTACTCACAAGGCTAAGGAAGGAAGATCTCAAGTTTGAGGCCATCCGGGGCAACACAGTGAGACCCCTTTCAAAAAACAGAAGCCTAGGGCCGGGGATTTAGCTCAGTGGTTCTGTCGCCTGCCTCATAAGTAAAAGGACCTGAGTTCAATTCCAGGTATAACAACAACAACAACGACAACGAAAACAGAAGTCTGTAATTCCAGCACTTGGGGAGACTGAGGCTGGAGGATCACAAGTTCCAGCCCCATCTGGGCAACTTGGTGACTTAGAGAGAACCTGTCTTAAAATAAAAAGTAGGAAAAAAAAAAAAAGCTGTGGATAGGGGCCGGAGATTTAGCTCAGTGTTTCAGTGGCCTGCCTTGCAAGCGCAAGGACCCGAGTTCAATCCCCGGTACTGAAAAAAAAAAAAAAAAAAGCTGGGGATATAGTTCAGTGCAAAGGTCTTGGGTTCAATTCCTGGTGCGACCAAACAAACAAACAAAAAAAAGAGTCTCACCGGACATGGTGGCGCACACCTGTAATCCCAGCACCGCACCCCTGAGGATAAGGCAGGAGGATCGCTGTGAGTTCGAGACCAGCCTGGGCTACATAGTGAGTTCCAGGTCAGTCTCAACTACATAGTGAGACCCTGTCTCAAAAAAAAAAAAAAGCTGGGGATATAGTTCAGTGCAAAGGTCTTGGGTTCAATTCCTGGTGCGACCAAACAAACAAACAAAAAAAAGAGTCTCACCGGACATGGTGGCGCACACCTGTAATCCCAGCACCGCACCCCTGAGAATAAGGCAGGAGGATCGCTGTGAGTTCGAGACCAGCCTGGGCTACATAGTGAGTTCCAGGTCAGTCTCAACTACATAGTGAGACCCTGTCTCAAAAAACCAAAAAAAAAAAAAA